TTGAACTGTGACCTCCCATTTCAAAGGTCCACACTCAACCACTGAGCCACGCTGGCCAAACTCTTTCTTTTTTTTTTTAATCCTCACCTGAAGACATTTTTACTGATTTGAGAGACAGAGACACAAAGTGAACAAGTAAGAGAAAAACAATGTGAAATATGGATCAGTTGCCTTCCATAAATGCCCCAACCAGGGATGGAACCTGCAAACTAGGGATGTGCCCTGACTAGGAATTGAACCCACAACCTATTTGATGCATGGGGCAATGCACCAACCAACTGAGCCACCTGATTGTGGCTGGAACTGTTCTGTATCTTGATTTTTGTGTGGGTTATATGATTCTATGATTAACCCTTGATATTCCTGTCTCCCACCCCATGGATACCAAAATTTATGGATGCTCAAAGCTCAAATTCCTTAAATAAAATGGCATAGTATTTGCATATAACATATGCATATCCTCCCATACACTTTAAATTGTCTCTAGATTATTATAATACCCAATACAATGTAAATGCTATGTAAATAGTTGCTACACTGAATTGTTTAGGGAACAATGACAAGAAAAATAGTCTGTACATGTTCATAGAGATGCAACCATTGTAAACCTAACCATAGACATACTTCAAACATATTGAAGGTTAGTTCCAGACCACCACAATAAAGTAAATATCACAATAAAGCTGAGCACACAAGTTGTTTCCCAGTGCATATAAAAATTATGCTTACACTATACTGTAGTCCAGCAATTTTCAACCTTTTCCATCTCATGGCACACATAAACTAATTATGAAAATTCTGCAGCATACCAAAAAATATATTTTGCATATATAATATATTTGACTAAAAAAATAAGTGTAATTTTGATTTATTCACATTGGATGCCTATTGTTGTGTTGACTGTTGTCATATTTTTATTTGACAATCTAATGGAAAAAACATCAGTGCCCCTGACTAAAGAGTCAGATATAGCATATTTTAAAAATTCTTGTGGTATACCAGTATACCTCTTATGCACACAAGTTAAAAATTGCTGCTGTAGTCTATTAGGTGTACTAAAGCATTATGTGTAAACAAAATGTACATAATTTAAAAATACTTTATTGCTAAAAAATGCTATATAAGCCTGTTGGAAAAAACGATTATGATAGATTTGATCAATGCAGAGTTGCCACAAACCTTTAATTTGTAGAAGTTGCATTATGTACAAAGTGCAATAAAGCAAAGCATGTTAAACATATATTATGCATACTAAGAGGTATGCATAGTACACATATGCAACAATATATTTTTTACCAAATATTTTTGATTTAAGGTTGGTTGAATCCTTGGATGTAGAACCCAGATATGAAGAGCCAACTGTATACGATTATCAAAATTTATCATATAATATACTTAAAGAGGGGGACTTTTATTTTATGTAAGTTTACCTCAATAACAATTATAAATTATTTAATAATTATCTTGTTTGTTTTAAAGACTGCAGGCTAGAAAGATAAAATACTAGCTTTTCTGCTAATGAGTTTCAATGTATGTCTTAGGTATCAAAGTGAAAAATACAAATAAGAAAGTACTTAGAATCCAAGTTGCTTGTAAACTACAACATGGGATGGAAGTACAGATTTTGGAAAGCTGAGAGCAATAGGAGATATTTTAATAAAAATGAAGCTCAGCAGAAACAATGGACAGAACTTTGATAGATGGATCATTGCAAAAAGGCAAAGATGCAAAAAACTGCATATATAGAGTATCCAAAAAAATGTACATACACACTTTGAATAATTATAAAGGCAGTGTTTATTAAAATACATTTTATTTTCAAAATTGAGCTATCAGCTATTAAAGTGTGTATACATTTTTGGGAAATACTCTGTATAAAGTTTACATAGGTTTTGCTATATAAATGTTAAACTTTATCATGTCTCAAAAATACCTGAAGAGCTTGTTAACTACAGATTTATAAACACAGCCTTTATAATTATTCAAAATGTGTGTATACGTTTTTTGGGACACCTTATAAATACATATATGAATATATTAAAAAAAACAGGAAAATAAGAATTTATACTAATATATAACTTACAGCTAATCAGTTTATTCTGTATCTTGAAAATAGATAGTACTAGTAAACCATCTTTTCAAATGCTTAAAGAACAAGTGTCAAAATTGGCCCTTATAACAATAATATAAAACTTTAAATATTCCAAAGGCACTATATATATATATATATATATATATATATATATATATATATATATATACTGACTAAAAACAACAAAAAAGTAACAACTAAAAAACACACCCTAAAGTAGGAAAACAAAAATCTTTCATTTGTAAATTTCAAAATTTACTGGTTTGAACAAACGCTTTGGTCAAAGAGAAAATTTAAATAAACTGCAGAATATTCAGAAATATTAGTCAGAAAACTGTATATCAAAATCCACAGAACACATTTGAAAAATGCTTGTTGAAGTTTTAGTGCTTACATTATTTTTTAAAGTCATAAAAAAATAAAGCAAGCATTCAGGTTAAGAAATAATCAAAACCGACACATTAGTAAAGAAAACAAATTAAGGTATTATAAACAAACAAAACAGAAATAATAATAAAGTTTTGAGTTATTAGGAAAAACTAAAAGGGAATAAAAGCAAAACTACAAAAATAAAAAATGACTATTTGGAAATAGTAATAGATAGAAAATAAGGATTTTCTTATTTTAGTAATAAGAAAATAAAAGTCGAGATTATTTTGCTCAACCCTATGCAAATAAATTTGAAAATCTAGCAAATACAACCTATGAAAACTGAAACCAGAAAAGACAAAACCTAAACAGAAAAATAAACATAAGGGGAAAAAAGAGATTTGTTAAGATGTATCATAATCGTAAAGCCCACAGATTTTGCAAAACTTTTAACAAATTACAGCAATACTATTTATTTAAAAATTTCCAACTCTGTAATTCATTAAATTTGCAAAAGCATGCCTGGGACTTGGGCTACTAAATTCCTAGTAAGCCAAAAGAAAAAAAGATTATATCTCCTTTGTAATTAAAGCCCCTCATATTTTTATAGGATTTATGTCAATATCCTTCACATATACTTATCAAAATTGAATTTTTCATACTATAAAATGACAATCCTGAACCAAACTAGGAAACATCTCTGAATACCAGGCAAAATGGTCCTTTCTTTTTATATATATACTAAAGGCCAGAAATTTGTACACAGGGCCAGTGATGAGGTGATGTCCCTCAGCCTAGCCTGCACCCTCTCCAATCTGGCACCACTAGAGGGGATTGGGCCTAAAGGGGCAGTTGGACATCCCTCACACAACCCAGGACTGCTGGCTCCCAACTGCTCGCCTGCCTGCCTTCCTGATTGCCCCTAACCGCTTCTGCCTGCCAGGCTAATCACCCCCTAACCACTCCCATGCCAGCCTGATTGATGTCTAACTGCTCCCCTGCCAGTCTGTTTGCCCCCAACTTCCCTCCTCTGTCGGTCTGGTAACCCCTAAATGCCCTCCCCTTCCCTGCAGGGTTGATCACCTCCAACTGCCCTCTCCTGCTGGCCATCTTGTGATGGCCATCTTGTGTCCACATAGGGACAGGATCTTTGATCACATGGGAACAGCCATATTGTGTGTTGTAGTGATGGTCAATCTGCATATTACTCTTTTATTAGATAGGATAGAGGCTTATCTATCAGCTGGTTTGCCCTGAAGGGTGTCCCGGATCAGGGTGGGGGTTCGCTTGGGGCTTAGGACAGCCTGAGCGAGGGGCCTGTGGTGGTTTGCAGGCCAGCCACGCCCCCTGGCGACCCAAGCGGAGGCCCTGGTATCTGGGATTTATTTACCTTCTACAATTGAAACTTTGTAGCCTGGAGTGGAGCCAAGCCTTCTGCTTGCTCTGTGGCTGCTGCCATTTCTGTTTGGATTGTTTACCTTCTATTAATGAAACTTTGAAGCACTGAGTGGAGGCTTAGGCCAGCTAGGGCAGGCAGAAAGCTTGGCTTGTTCCATCACCTGGGAAACCCAAGCCTCCCTCCTGCTCTTTGTGCTGTAGCCATCTTGGTTGGGTTTATTTGCATACTTGCTCTATTGGCTGGTGGGCGTTGCTTGTGGGTGTAGTGGAATAATGGTTAATTTGCATATTACTCTTTTATTAGGTAAGATATATCTTTATTGATTTCAGAAAGGAAGGGAGAGGGGGAGATAGAAACATCAATGATGAGAGAGAATCATTGATCAGCTGCCTCCTCCACACCCTCTACTGGGGATCAAGTTCAAAGCTTGGGCATATGCCCTTGGCTGGAATCAAACCTGTGACCCTTCAGTCCACAAGCCAATACTCTAGCCACTAAGCCAAACCAGCTAGGGCCAAAATGGTCCGTTCAACAAAATTTATCTGTGGTTTAAAAAATATTTTCAAAATATAAGTCAAAATGTTCTAATGTTAAGCAAACTACTTTTGTGCTATAATCCCTGAGTTGAGCAGTTGAACAGAGATTCTACAATCTACCAAGTCTAAAATATTTACTACTTGGCTTTTAATAGAAAGTTTACTGGCCCCCTGCCCTAGAGTGGTAATTCCTTGTTTTACCTGATTAGAATTAGAATGTATTGTTGCTCCAGCTCCAACTACAACTAAATAGCCAACTTGCAAGAAATATGGATCCTTGCCCAGCTAGTGTGGCTCAGTGGTTGGGTGTTACCCATGAACCAAGAGGTTGCTGGTTTGATTTCCAGTCAGGCCACAAGCCCGGGTTGCTGGCTCCAACCCTAGTGAGGGACATACAGGAGGCAGTTGATTGATGTTTCTCTCTCATCGATGTTTCTCTCTCTCTCTCTCTCTCTCTCTCTCTCTCTCTCTCTCTCTCTCTCTCTCTCCCCTCTCTCTTTCCCTCCCTCCCTCTCCCTTGCTCTTTCTAAAAATCAATAAAAGCATATTTAAAAATAAAAAGAAAGAAACATGGACCAAAGACACCATGAAATTTACTACTCACCACATAACTGTTATGTGACAAAAAAAGGAACTGGAAGTTATTGTTGAGGATCAAAGCAGCATCCCAGATTTCAGACTGAGTCTTTAGGACTGTCAGGTTTTAAAGGATAAGAAAAGTGCAGTTCCTGGGGAATGCACAGAAAACTTGCTTATGAAAAAAGAACAAAGTGATGATGACCCTTTAGCTTAAAAGCTAGAGTATACACGTACATTTGAGCACATGGAAAAAAATATTTGTACTTTGCATCTCAGGCTAAACCCATCATATAATTTAAAGGCTGCACTTTCAGAAATGGGACACAGAAAGTAACTTATTTTCATAATTTAGTTTAAACAGAGAAACTCTAAGACTGAGTTCCCAGAGTTCTCCAGAATCTCAACCCATACAGGTAGTTTTGAGTAGGTGTCACTTATGGTCTTGCTCCTTATTGAACAGTTACAGATTTGAATAAAATTTTGAACATAACAACACTTTTTTTTTATAAATGTGAAGTCATGAACCTTGAGTGATATGAATAAAATACTAAGGAAGTTATTTTGGTTTTGTTCATGGCTCAAAGTTCTTAAATTTTTAGAAGCCTAATATTTTACCTAACTGCTTCTGCCTGCCAGGCTAATCACCCCCTAACCACTCCCATGCCAGCCTGATTGCTGGTTATGCAATTCTAGAAGTTAAATATTATAAGTATCCTACAATTATAGGGTCATTCATGGATTTAGCAAATACACGTTTTTATCACTGATTGTGATAAATAGTCAGGGTCTCCAATTTTTAATAGGATGTATCAGATAAAAGGGTCAAACTTACTCAGAAGCCCTTCCATTACTCAGAGGTAAGAGGCTTAGCATCTGGTTGGATAGTGATATGCGCTGATGAAACGGAAATACAGAAGGGATAATGGATAGAGGCACACTGTAGGAGGAAAGAAATATCAGTATGACATTTTGAATACAAAAGAATTTGAAGTTCCTATGTAACCTCCAAGTGAGATGTCCATTGAGCAGTTGGATGTATGGATGAGGAGTTTAGGACAAACCTGAAATAGGAGTGGACACTTGCTATTCATTTGTCAGCTAACACCAAAAATGGAATGCTATTGCTTATAGAGTTCTTTGATGATCAAAGTCAGAAATTCAGTTATGCTAATAGTTAACGGACAAACAGAAAAATAAATCACTAATGGATGCTGCATCTCCCTACACAACAACTATTTTTATTTTCTGTGTAAACCTCCAAAGTTTCTTTATGCAACTACAAATATACATTTTTATCTCTATTTACTCAAAATAGTAGTGTATTACACCAAACATTGTGTATTTTGCTTCACATAAGAGAATACATTGCTGACTTTTAAAATCTTTAAAATATGATATTTCCATTTGTTCAAATCTCTTTTAGGTCCTTCATTAACTTTAAAAACAATCTAAATATAGGTTTTAAACAGTTCTTATTTATCCCTAGGTATTTTAACTAATTTGTTGCTTTTGTAAACGAAGTTCCATCTTTTTTGTATTTTTTGTATATATCAAAGCTATTATTCTGTATATGAATTTTTGAATGACCAATTAAAGCAATTGTAGTATTTATTTTTTTCATTTTGTTGAAAAATATGTTGCAAGATCAAATACTGGAAGAAAGCATCTTTATAGATAGAAGAAAATTGTTTCACTACATTTACAAAGGCCATTTGGTCTGGGGAAATCTTGGTCAAATAGTCAGATTGCCATGCTTATTCACAAACAAAACAGACTTTTAACAGTTTACTTTGTGGACGAAAGGGGCCTCAAGCTAACCTGACTAGCTCAGGGAAGGCCTGCATGGTGGGCTTGCAAACTCAGAGATCTCAAGTAACCACAAAGGATGGTCTGAAATTACAACTTTTTAAACTAAAAGAAGTTTATGGTGGGTAGTCATGTCCTAGGCCAGTATATTCCCTGACAAAGGCTAATCTTTACCTTAACTGAGCCCATTGTCTTTTTGCATTTATAATACTAGGGGCCCAGTGCACGAATTTTGGGGTGGAGGGGGTCGCTCAACCCAATCTGCCTCCCTCACATACTGGGAACCCTCGGGGTATGTTCTACTGGCGGCTTAGGCCCGCTCCCCACAGAGAGGCAACCTGGCTGGTTATGGGAAGGCATGAGCCCCATCACCCTGCTGCTGTAGCCACTGCTAGTCACCGTAGCCACCAAGGTGTTTTCATCAACACTGACTCCAGTCCCTTCACCAAGAAAAAATGGCAACTTTCTTTAGGCATTTTCAAGATGTCTTTCATAGGATACGCATTTCTTTTTTTTTTTTTTTTAATCCTCAGCTGAGGATATGTTTCCATTGACTTTTAAAGAGTGTGGAAGAGAAAGGGAAAGACAGAGAACAAATCAAAGTGAGAGGAACAGTGATCTGGGCCCTGGCCAGGGAGGAGCCTGCAACCTAGGTACATGCCCTTGATCAGAATCGAACCCAGACCCTACGGTCGGCAGGCCGAGGCATTATCCACCGAGTCAAACCAGCTAGGGCAGAATATGACATTTCTTAGCCCTCCAGCAGTAGACCTTCATTTTTTCTCCAGGAGTGTGGTAGAAAAACCCTAGGTCACCTTTATCGATTCTTAATACCCAACTTACTAAGAATATTACCAGTGGCATACAGGGAGCTTAGCCAATGTGCAGGTAGAAAAGGTGTTTCCTCTATAGTTCACACCAATCTGGGGCTGGGCCCTGCCCAGGCCTAAAGCCTCTGGCCAAAGCTTTAGGCGTGGGCAGGGGCCTTCCAGCTCCCTCTGATCATTGTCTCTGCCCCTGCCCAGGCCTGCCCAGGCCGAAAGCCTCTTGAGCAGGAGCGGACCCCCCAAGCTCTCTGTGATTGATCACAGGGGTTCCACTCCCGCCCAGGCCTTACCTCACAATGACCTGGGTGCCAGGATGTTCCTGGGACACAGGTACTGGGTGCTTATGTATACAAATTAACCGCCATCTTGTTTGGATTAATTTGCATAGTCACTCTGATTGGCTATGGGTGTAGCGAAAGTATGGTCAATTTACATGTTTATCTATTATTAGGTAAGACTAGAGGCCTGCTGCACAAATTTGTGCACGGGTGGGGTCCCTCTGGGTGATCTACAGAGATCAGGCCAAAACCCGTAGTCCAATGCTGCCTATAGTTCCTACCTGCCACTCCCATTCATCCTGGACCCACTGTGCCTGCTGTGGGCTTGTGCCCAATCAGTCCCGATAGGAAGAGGCTCATACTGTCAAAGCAGCACTAACCTGCCATTTGCCCAGTGTCTGCAGAATCAGGCTGAAACCAGCTCTCTTAACACCCCGAGGGTTCGTGGATTGTGAAAGGGTGCAGGCCAGGGTGAGGGACCCCACCGGTGCATGATTGGGCCAGGGAGGGCTCCAGGGTATGTCTGGCCCATCTCACTCAGTCCCAATTGGCAGATCCTATCAAACTAATCCACCTGTAAAGTATCTGCCCCCTAGTGCACATCATAGTGACTGGTTGACCCATCAACTGTCTGCCCCCTGGTGGGCAGTGCATGTCATAGTGAGGGGTTGAGCAGCCTTAGCATATCATTAGCATATTATGCTTTGATTGGTTGTTCAGCCGTTTGGTCTATTTGCATATTACTCTTTTATTATATAAGATCTCTTTAGAATGTTAAAGTAGTTTTCCTTTTTTCTAGACCCCTCAAAGCACAGACACTGCTCTGGGGAAACCACAAATCTCATTGTTACTGAGTTAATTAACTGTTAACTATCCACCCACTTCAGTATATGTGTATTTTACTTTTTATCCAATCCCAGGTGTTTCCCCACTTTGCTTCCCCCTGCCTTCCTAATCTATCACCATTAGATTCCATGTAACCCACTTACATCGCCTCTTTTTATTGTAATGTATAAAAGAGGGTGCAAACTACCACTTTCAAGAGCATTATCTCAATCCATTGAAATTCTGCTTCCTGACAACTGTCGATAGTTTGGCTCAAATAAACTCACAAAAATTCTTCACAGTTACTTATTTTAACAACCTGATTTCTGTGCACCAAAGACAGAATAACTTGCTTCCAAATTCTGAGCTGTCTGTACAAGTGTAAATGACCAATTAAACCTATTCCTTAGTCCAGAGCTTCTCAAAGCACACTCACCAAAGTTCCTTCAAAGAATTAAGAAAAATCAGTAAAAAGTTTTTCGGGAATCTTTCCTCTTAAAAGAAAATTAATGATGATTTCATTTCTACACCACAATGAGCTTGCTTTATGTAAAATTGCTTTAAAAATTACTTATCGCTCAATTGCTTAGCCTTTTTCTTCTCTTTCAGATAAACGGATGCTCCAGAAAGATGCATCCTTGCAGTCATTATTTTAGAAATGGGAAAAGGGAGGTTTAGAGGTTATTACCACACAAAACTCACATGCCACTTATCCTCACAAACTTGGAACTACACACTGTCTCACAAAAGTTGTAACTACAACCCCCTCACAAACCTTTGGTCACCCGCCCTCGAGTCCTCCCTTTTCCTCCAGGACCCTTTATCTCCAGATAAGCTTTAAACACTACAGGTCACAGTAGGCAATTCTCCGCGCGCGACCCCCCCACCCCGCCAGTCCCATCGCAGACTCCGCGAATGCTCCCTTACAGCCTCCCAGCGGGATACTGAGTCCAGAAATCAGGTCCCACAGCCAGATTTGCTTTTGACGGAACCAAAAGCAAACTCACCAGCAAACAAAGACTACGATGGCGAGCCCGGAAGTCTGCGCCTGCGCTTTCCTTGGGCTCCCAGAGGTCTCCCCGGCTCCGCAGAGCAGGGGCTCAGGATCAATGGAAAACAGTAGACACTGGCACGGCTTCCACTTTTCTGACTGGACTACATTTCCCAGAAGGTTCAGAGGCTGGAGACTGGAACACAACACTGTGTTCACTGTACCTCTGGGAGAGGCCGTGGTGTGCCTGGTAAGAGCGGTTCTACGGTTCTAGCACGCAGGTTTGTCCCCAAGTCGGAGCCACCTGCGAGGCCCTGCGAGGAGCGCCAGAAGCCGGCGGGCCGGGTGTGTGCTCTGGCCGGACTGAAGCCGGCGCCACCTAGTTTATGGCGAGGCTTCGCTGAACTAACTCTCCCTGGGCGCGCGGCCTGCGCTCCTCCCCGCCGGAGGTGGAATATTTGGGCAGAGCGGGACTCAGTAGCCTGAGTGTTTTGGCCTTGTGGCTAATAGGATTCGGGTGAAAAGTACAGAGTTAGGGACTCGGACTGAGTATTGTTTGTTCGGGCAGAACGGTCTGAGAAGGGTTAATTGTGAAACTATGTGTGAGACTCTGTCCCAGTGATGTGTTTGTGATTTTATATGATACTGTGTGTGCGGAGGTGAGGAACTTTGGTGTGGCTTTGAGTCCAAACAGTATGATTATTAATGTTTGATGCTCTGTAACTATGTGCGGGCATGGGTTACCTGTGGCTGTGTCCCTGTGGTGGGTGTGTGACTGTGACTATGTGACCATGTCTTCGTCTTTGTGTAGGTATCTAGAGCTTTGTGGCTGTTCTTTAGTGACTGATGCCCTGTGGGGATTGTGACTCAGCTGTACTATGTAGGGAGGGGAGAGTGTTTGTGACTGAAGGTGTTACTGTGTGTCTGATGATGGGCCTGTGACTGTGCAGCAGTGTATGTGTGGATTTGGGAGGACTGTTCATTTGTGTTGTAGACTGTGAGTCACATAGTCATATGTGGGAGCACAGGAGGGCTCTACCCCTGGCCAGTCTTAAAGACACAGGAGTTGAATTCGAAGCCCTAGTCTCCTCTGATAGCACTCCCCTGGTCTGGGAAGAGAAAGCAAAGTATCTGGGTCTCAAAAAAGGTCTGTTGTCTCGCTCCACATCTCTATTCTCCCAGTGAGCTCAGAAGAGAAGGAAATAATAGTTGTGATGACTAAAAGTTATACAGTATTTAGCCGGAACCGGTTTGGCTCAGTGGATAGAGCATCGGCCTGCGGACTGAAGGGTCCCAGGTTCGATTCTGGTCAAGGGCATGTACCTTGGTTGCGGGCACATCCCCAGTAGGGGGTGTGCAAGAGGCAGCTGATTGATGATTCTCTCTCATCGATGTTTCTAACTCTCTCTCTCCCTTCTTCTCTGTACAAAATCAATAAAATATATTTTTTTAAAAATAAGTCATTCAAGATGCTTTGGAATTTTTTGTTTCCAAAACAGTTTATTTTATTCAGCACATGATTTTCTTTATTGGCAAATGCCTAACAAAAACATCAAGTGACCTGGAACCTACTATATTTCTCTTTGGGAATATCTTCCTTGCACTCCCTAATTTTCTTTTAGTAATCTAGCAAATTATTCAGATTACCTTATGGGCTGAGTATTTTGGTTTTACATGTATCCACAAATATTAAAATGTAGATACATATACACATTTCTATATACATATATTTTTATTATATTTTCATTTAAGTGATATTGTAACATCTCACATAATTAAAAGATATTTGTGAATATTTTTTAATCTTTACCTGAGGACATGTTTTTTTATTGATTTGAGAGAAAGAGGGAGAGAGACATCAATGTGAGAGAGAAACATCACTCTGTTGCCTCTTGCATGCACCCCACACGGGAACCAAACCCACAACCTGAGCTTGTGCCCTGACTGGAAATCAAACTTGACGCCTTCTGGTATATTGAATGACACTCCAACTGAGCCACACTGGCCAGGATAAGGGTATTTTTACTATTAGAAACTGTTGTTTTGTCTCTCTTTAAGAAGACTATTTATTTATTTTAATCCTCACCAAAGGATTTTTTACCATTGATTTTTAGAGAAAGTGGAAGAGAGAGAGAAAGATGGAAATATTGAAGTGATAGAAACATCAGTTGGTTGTCTCCTGCACACACCCTGACCAGGGTCTGGCCCGGGAAGGAGCCTGCAACCGAAGTACATGCCCTTGACCGGAATCAGACCTAAGACCCTTTGTTCTGCAGGCCGATGCTCTATCCACTCAACCAAACCAGCTAGGGTGTTTCTCTTCTTTAAAAAACAAAAAACAAAAAACAAAAAACAAACAAACAAACAAAAAAAACCTATTGCAGTGACATTGATTAATAAGTACATAAGTTTCAAGTGTGCATTTCTATGATCTTTATATTGCACTGTTTGCCCACCACCCAAATCATTTTACATCACCATGTTTGATCCCTTTTCCCTTTACTACCCTTCCCTCTGGTAACCACCATACTGTTGTCTGTGTCTATGAGTCTCTGTTTGTTTTCCTTGTTTATTTATTTGTTGCTTTCAGTTTTATATCCCAAATATTAGTGAAATCATATGGTTCTTAATACTTTCCTGATTTATTTGGCTTAGCATGCTTCTCAGGCTCCATCCATGTTGTTGCAAATGGCAGTATTTCATTTTATAGCTGAGTAGTGTTAACATAAAAACATTCAAACCTGTAAAGAATTTTTGTGAGTTTATATGAGCCAAACTGTCAACATATGCCAGGAAGCAGAACCTCAACCAATTGAGATAATGCTCCAGAGAATGGCAGGTTACATCTACACTGAGTGGCCAGATTATTATGATGAGTGGCCAGATAATTATGATCTCTGAACGCATAATAATCTGGCCACTTAGTGTATATACACACACACACACACACACACACACACACACACACACACACACATGAGGGGTCCACTGCATGAATTTCTGCATGGGTAGGGTCCGGCCAGCCTGGCCAGGGGCAGGGGACATGGGCACTTGGCTGGCCTGCCTGCTGGTCAAATTCCTGGTCGAGGGGACAGTTTGCATATTTATTATATAAGATATACACTGAGTGGCCAGATTATGCGTTCAGAGATCATAATAATCTGCCCAGTCAGTGTATATTTACACATTGCAATCAAAGGAAAGGGTATAGATGGTGAGGCATTGTGGTCTCTCCTTTAGAAAAACTGCTGCTTGAAACTGCTATTTGAACAATTCTGTTATTCTTAGACAGTCTCTATAGGTCAACTCTGTTATTTTTAGACTGTAAAATATCTTTGTGGTTTTTTTTCTTGAATAGAAAAGATAAACTTAATTGTCTGATCTTGCAAGCTAGCCATTTAAAGGGGCTGATACACTGATACTGATATTAATTCACATAATTCTGCCATGTGTTTATCCATCCAAGGTTACAGGTGTCTATAACGATATATGTGCCCAAAGTTACAAGTTGTCTGTATAGATATTACAGGTGTTTGATTAGATATAATATGCATTCAAGGTTACAAGCTGTCTTACACAAAGAACTAGGAGGATATAAAAAGGAAATACTCCTCCCTATGTTGGTTCAGAATTTGACAGAGGTAATCTGCTCTGAACCTGTGCACAATAAAAATGGCTCCTTACTAATGGGCTCATTAGGTGTCTTGTCCAGCTCACTAATTTTCGATACAGCAGTGGGTTACATAAAATCCACTGATGACAGAACAGAGAGGCAGGAGAAAGCAAAGCGGGGGAAACCCCTGGGACTGGATAAAAAGTAAAATTATAGACACATATTTAGGAGGGTGCAGGAATAATTAACATGATAACAATGAACGAATTTGTGGTATCTGTCTGCCAGGAGAGCCAGTGTGTCATAATTGAAAGAGTTTCATCAAAAGGTGGATGGAACTTGGGGACTCAACAAGGACTGAGTCACATATGTAATCACCTGTTGGGATGGCTAAAAGGCATTTTCCCCAAACCTGAATAGGATGATTGTTTACTGCCAGATGGCTCAGGGCATCTTAAGCTATATATTATTGCATCCTTCTGGTCAAAACACCTGAACAGCCGTAGGCTATTCCCCAATCTGACAATGCTTCTGTAAGAAACCCTACCCTTTGAAGTGTATTATCTCACCTTGTTTTAGGACAAATTGTATTAATAAAAAGCAAGGGTCCTGAAACAAGGAGAACTTGGCTTCTTCAGCCAGGTTCCTCTGACCCCCAATGCCTTTAAAAATTATCTTTTGTCTCTGGAGTCTTACTTTAGTTATGTACGGCCTTTCTCCAGATTGCTGAACCCTTCTTAATGCTGGAACAAGAACTCTGGCATTAATGGCACCCAACATCAGTCCTGGTACCCAGGAACCTTAGGCTGTGCCCCAAGGGGTCCAAGAAAAGACAAATAGAATCAATTAAGGTAAAGGTTGACTTTGTCAGTGAAGATACTGGCCTAGGATGTGAGGAGTGGAAAATAACTGACCTTGCCTGGAGGGTAGAAAGTTGCTACTCCCTCCCCCTCCTGGAGCTGAAGGCCAAATCAACAGTCTGGGTTAGTCAAGGCTGAAGATAGCAGAACAAACCAAGAAGGGAGATTAGGCCATCTGGCCGAGAAACTAATCAGCTTCAGCCCCATGGACCTCCACCCCCCCTTGTTTGGAATGTGCTTGTTTGAAGAGTGCTTAAAAAGGAGACCGCTTTGTAACGGCTGCTGCTTCTGGCCGCACCATTGCCGCAGTGGCAGCCCAGATTCGAATCTGCAATAAAGTTTGTTATTTGACTCCGCAATTGGCTAGTTGGAGTTATTTCCCGGGTAGGGGTCTCTGCCTCTTGGGTGGTCTCATCTCCATTCAACAAGATGTAACTACCCACCATAACTGCTTTTAGTTAAAGTTTAATTTCAGACCATCCTTTGTGGTTCTTTAGGTCTCTTGAGTTTACAAGACCACCAAGCAGGCCTTCCCTGAGCTTGTCAGGTTAGCATGTGGCCCCTTTCCTCCACAGTAGTATTCCATTGTAGTATACTATGTACCACATATTTATTCAATCATCTATCAAAGAACATTTTGGTGTTTCCATTTCTTGGCAACATTGAGTAATGCTGAAGTGATAATGGGGGTGCATATATCTATATGAATAAATGTTTTCAAATTTTTTGTGTAGATATCCAAAAGAGGAGTTGGTGGGTTATATGGTAACCCTATAATTAATTTTTTGAGGAAACTCAGACTGTTTCCCATACTTGCTGTATCAGTTTACATTCCCACGAGTAGTGAGTAAGAGTTCCTTTT